GACTCAGGCCTGGCATACTGCGTTACCTGTAGCCTGACAATGAGTTTTGCACTGTCAGCGATACGTTTATAATGTTAGACATATCTGCAGGCAGCATTGTGGGAGATTTCCATTCAGGGTCTGAGAGCTATAGTGCAAGGAATATATTGCATCAAGGCTCTGTTGCTTCTAGTCCAACTCGTGTAAACAAGAAACACTAAATGTTAGGAGGGATACCCATAGAAACACTCATGATCTGGTGGTTTCCTTCACTTGAGAGTGAGCTCGTTCCCTTACAGTAGCATCATTAGTTATGTCCAGGTTGAAAATGAATAAGTTGCCCAGAAAGGTAGGACAACATGTACAGCAGATTGAACAGGCCCAGGGAGGCAATACATGTAGTCTCTGCATTGTCAATAGGTGTTAGTTTTGCAGAGGGAGAACGGTAATCTTCAGAGAGAAAGAGCAAATGTTGTCTATGCCAGTCTGAGCACATACAGGGACACAGACAAGTCAGCATGACACACTATCAGCCAATCACGATCTGTAACCACCCAATCTCTAGTTTAGCTGGTTCACTGGACAAGAAAGAGGTACGAGGACCTCTATTGCCTAAGAATTCCCACAGCCTAAGATCCTAATTGTAAGAATCAATCAAACCATGGTAACCTGACCTACCAACACTGTCTGGCTAGGGGTCACCTCGGTGGTCACTCCTCGTGTACAGGGGTATTATACACTCCCAGGAGAGTACTAACCATGCTAACAGTGCTCCCAACTTGTGTTACCCTGGATGTACACGAGTCCATCAAACATGAGCCCATCTGTCACCGTCACATGTCAGGTCATTCATCAATACCACTAAAACTAATACTAAATAGTTCTGCACAATGACAGAGGGAACTATGCATTCCTAGCAAAGTGATATATTTACCACAAACCTAAGAGCACTGGTTTGGTGCTGACAAACCTAGGATTCAAACCCACATTCAGATTTTGTGCATGCCAAAGGGCCTCATTTCTATAAAGCAAATTGAAGAGCCTCAGACACCATGGCTAGTCAGTGGTCACTCCTCATGTACAGGGGTATAACACGCTCCCAGGAGAATACTAACACTACTACTGTGCTACTAACTTGTGTTACCTACACGAGTCCATCAAGCCCATCTGTCACCGACACACGTCAGGTGATTCATCATTACCATAAAGAGACATGTGACCGCAAGACAAACACGTGGATGTACTCTCTGAATCAAGTAACTTTCACACAGCAATATTCTAGCTGTATGATGGCAGCCTGCAAAGAATCGAGTTTGGTCCAGATAAACTAGTAACTGATGTCAGTGTTCAATAAAACCAACTGCCCGTAGGCCCGTTACAGGTAGATCTCATGCTGGGCACATAGTTTCAGATTTGTATGTGTCTTTATAGCCTGCAGTTAATTTACGTGTCGATTTATTTGTCACCATACGCTGCAGTTTTTTTTAAAATGACGGCCTGAAGTGTTTAGTCAGGGCCTGCAGCTTCTATAAAGTCTGTGGCTCCAGATGAGGACCTGCTCTGTAGGAGTGAAATGATACAGCAAGGTCATGATACGATACGTATCTCGATACATAGGTAACGAAATAATACGTATCACAATACACATATTCACGTCAAATTGCGTGGAAACATCTTCACTATAATTTATAAATAATTCGGGGCATGATCTAAATGGAAAGCTCCCTGTAGACATATGTTCATTATATTCATAGCCGCTATTTTTAGTAGTGAACTTGGAACTCTAAGTATAACACATTTTGTAATATTTGACTGACAAAATTGCTTGGGGTCAATAAACGAGTAGTAAGTAATATATTTTAGCAAGTGTATTGTCTTGTATCGAAAAAAAAAAAAAAGGACTTTGAACAGGTTTTTTATCATAGGTTTTGATCCAAGTTTTTTTTTTTAGTGAAATGGGCTTTACAATGACAGATTGTGACCTGTTTAACCATTATGATAGCTTCAAAATATAAAACAAGAATCATCAGAAGAGGACAAATCCCCCTGGCCCCTACAAATTCGAAAAAAACAAATCATCTGACTGTTATTTTAAGTCCAACTTGATGAGAGAATCTGTCTGTCCGATTACAAGAGTAATTTTGGAGCTATCAAAACAATACCATGAAATTGTGATTCGGAACTTTGTTCTAGGGGTGTAACGTTAAATCAAAATATCAATATACTGCTATTGGTAAGCACTTTAAGTCAATAAATTGATTGTTAAATCAGTTTCTGATCAATGGTATCGATTTCAGTTGGGAATATTGATAGTTTGGATTGTATTCACCATAGTTTTACAGTTTCAATAAAATACATACAATGCTGTTCAAATTTGTTTTTCTTTAGAGCATGAGTGGAAGTAATTTACACATGGTAATGTGGGAGTTTCTTTTTCTTAAATTATTTGGGTAAAGAAAAAATAAATCAGTAAAATCTCAAACTTTACTTTCTATTTGATGTTATGGTTATCACATTCAAAGGAAACTTCAGTTCCAAGGTTTAATTCAACTCTAAAATCCATCTAAAGTGAAAGTGAAACTTGTTGCCGAGGAAATGGTGAAAAACATATATTCTAAAAATCCCTAAATAGCAAAAGGCACCAGTTGACAACCTGGTCTTTGTGTGTGCACAGTTTCATGAAAGAATACCTGGTTATTGTCTAGACACACCATACCACTATGAACAGAGTCAAAGTCAAACTTGTTGCCATGGAAACAGGAATTTAAAAAAATAAATAATTAAATTCCTAAATAGCAAAAGGCACCACTTCAGCGCTGTAGTGGTGCCTTTTGCTATTTAGGAATTTAATATATTTTGTTCAATCGTAAAAGATCAAGGCAACTTAAACCCATTGACGGGACCCATCAAAGTTAGGTTTTGGTTTCTTTTAACGTCTTTTGGTATGATGGGCCGGGGATCAAACACCCGGCCTGCCGCTCCCCAAGCAGACCATCTACCATGAGATCACAGAGGTCGTCGGTACAGTGTTGAAAACGCAAGGATGACCAAAAGATCACGTCATTGCTAAAGGAGTGAGTTAGTGAGTGAGTTGGGTTTAACACCGCTTTTAACAGTATTCCAGTTATATCATGGCGTGTTAGCTTAATTTGGAAAGCCTGAAGTGATGCAGGTCTCAGACATTTACCACTTTGGTGAAACCAACGAGCCCGGGTATGGTGCTGACAAACCTAGATACATAATTGGGCGAACTTGGATTTGAACCCACAATCATAGTTTCTGGCGTGCCCAAGGGACGCAACTCTGCACAGCGAATCGTGGCGCCTTAGACGACTAGCCCATGCGTGCCCCCCATTGCTATAGGATACAACTCGGAACAGTACACTGCATTACACCATGCCTTCCTCTCTAAGGAAGTGTTGACAGGCTGTTTTCCATTACTAGTCATAAAGTTTATCAGAATTGTTAATAAACAGTTTTATTCACTTTTGCTGGACCAAATCACTAAATTTTGAAAATGCCTACCATAACAACTTAGAGAATTCTAAAAGCCAAACAATCAAAATGACTGTCATGATCATCACACATTATCAAATTGCTTGTCAAGTGTCTTAACAATCTGTCTATAAAAACATCTATTATTAGAAGTCAAGTTGAACAAATTCATTTGACATTTGGCTTAAGTATGTTCAGTGTCAAACATGGTAAAATGACAAATATCTTCTCTAATTAATCTTGACTTTTGTATTGATTTAGTGTCTCCAGAAATATTTAATTGATACATTGATTTCCTACGACAGTAAATCAACATGATCAAGTTAAATACAGATAGATGGACATGGTGTTCGTTGTTATGCTTGTGCAGAGAGAAAACTAGATGACTGTCTGTGATGTTAGCCACTAGTCCAAATTTTGTTGGTCTAGTAAGCTCAGGTAATAATATACATTGTCGAACCGATCTCGAGGGGTATATGGTTTGATGTACCCTGTGTGTGAGCCTATGTACATAAATAGGCTCACACACAGGGTACATCACACTATATGCCCCGAGGGATCGGTTGACAACAAAGTTACCTCACCGACATTCCTTCATATAGACCTGGAATAGATATCTGAAGTGTCACCGATTAAAACGCTTTGATTCAGCCATTTTTACCATTAGCAGATGACGCAAACAAACAGTTACTTCCCTTTACCAAATGCATTCAAATAAACATCGGTTCATTTCATTCCATGGTACTTATGCGAGATAAGCAAGTTACCAAAGGTGTGTTCCGATTGATTTTCCAGCAGGGTATATGACATCTTCCAGAGGCAAGTGAGTGAACTGACTGTAAAAGTCCAGTTTCCACCCTTGCCGAACTAGGCTGGTAATATGGAGTTACATTTTAGCTGGACTAAAGAGTCTATGCATAGTCCAATCAAAATCGCGCACCAAAATTGAAATCCGGTTCGTAAAGTGTCATGCATAAGTCGGTTGACTGCAGGATTTGCAAAGCATGTGCACCGCTAACTCGTTGTCAACAAATATTTTCTATATCTTTTCATGTTTTTGATCAAGGTGCTCACGTGATTTGATGCACTTCGCGATGTAAGACTCGTTTGATCACAATATAGATCTTGATTATCGATCAGATCGTCTTGAGTGGGCGCCACCGTTTTGTTTGAAGCAAATGTTAGTGATACGAGAGGCTGAATCTGATTGGTCAATAGGAGAGGCATAGAAAGGACATTACGATCGAGCCCAGCAATTCCAGGCTAGTTCGGCAAGGGTGGAAACTGGACTTTTAAAGTCAGTTAACTCTCTTGCCTCGGGAAGATGGGTATATGAGGGGGCTACATGAGCAGGCAACATGGAAAATAACTGCTCTCTCCTTAACCAATCAGAAGCTAGTATTTTAATATAAATGAGATAATAGTCCATATACACGACATTCTACTGAAAATGATGCCAAGAGGTCAGGTTAGAAGACTGAAAAGACTTGCACAGATTGAGATGTAATTGAACTTTCAGTACTTACCAAAGCACTCTTGCCCACACCTCCACTGCCGAGAACCACGATCTTGTATTCCCTCATCTTGTGTGTCTACCCTAGAAATGATCTCACCTGCAAAACATGGAAAAAACCCACTAAGATAAGCAATACAGTTGGTCAAATACTATATCCTTGTCTTAAAAGTAAATGTAAAACTGAAGTACACGTCACCTTGTCTTGGAAATGGAGCAAGTGTCGGCAGTATAGCTGTCAGTCTTTATATAATGCTGACCCTATGACATCAATGGATGTGTCATCAAGGAAAATCAGTTTTATGACGGGTGTGAAAACTTACCGGTACATGAGTCTCATACATGTCATTAGCCACGTTGACCTGGAGATGAACGTCTCCTTGTCTTTTTATGGAAGTTACCCATACTTATAAGGTCATAAGTACATGTATTCCTCAAACATGTAAAATACATTGAGTCACAGAGAACATTTGGATCTTTAGAACACGAAATTTAACCTGTAACCATGGTAACTGTTTGACTGAAGACCCAAGCCAGTGCTTGTAAACTTGCAGTAATCTATACCTCTGACAAATTTACTAACCACAGGCAATCTGGCTAGTGCTTATATCTTACAATGACAAGCCTTAAGCACTGAAATACCATGTCATCTTTGTTAAAATATATATATATATATATAGTAACTGCAGACCTAGGATGTAAACCTTGATTAGCAGGAACTGTTACAATTAGGGTACACAATTCTGCACGACAAACTGTGGTGGTTTAAGAGTTCGACCACTTGACCATCCATGTCGCAAGAACGTCAATAAAACTAATAGGATTACAGCCACTAGATGGGTCTGTGGAGTAGTCCTGATCGCAATTTACAACATGTACAAGGGTCATATGATCCTACACACTGCACTTTGATTGTTGACATTGACCTGGTTAAGCTGCTAATTAACAACAAAAACTGTCAACATGGATACATCCTGTTCCTGGCTATCACATGCACATGGTGACATCAGGCTACAACTGCTGCACACATCTCTATCATGTCTGTGTACAGTGAACATAGTGTTAGAAATTAAGGGAGGGTTCCTTGGTTAGGGATCGCCTATTTAGTATACTATGGACACCCAGCTCCAATTTTTTTTATTTAAACATGTTCAACATGTTCAAAGCTGATGTAAACAAATAAATCAACATTTTTCTGGAACAAACCTTCTCCCTTTTAAAAATACCAGGCCTATCACATAACGTCAAAATTAATGGTCTGTCCCTCATGTTTTATGCTACTGTAATTTAATCTAGAGACCCCTACAGTTTTTTAAATTAGGGTTATGACAAGGACCTCTCGACGTTTCTGCTTAATTTTGAACATTAAACCTTCATGGCTAAATATGGCAATAAAGGACCAGTGGAGTCAGATGTGATCATAAAACCGTAACCAATTCAATGAATGTTTCTAGGTCAGCATGGTCAGTTGGTCATGAGCATCATGAGGCAGACAATGAAAACCAAAACAGTACAAAAGTTGTTCATTTAGAACTGACCATGCTGACTGCATAAGAAAACGCTTGAAATAATATTAACAATCTGACACTGTTTTTACTTTTGAAACATATGTGGAACCTTTTGTGTAAAAGAAGATAAAAAAATGACCTTGCGTAAACATGCTATAGATCCTCATACCGCTGTCAAGCAAAGGATGTATTGCTTGTCAATGGTATAAGGATCCATACCAAAACATTGCCTTTAAATTACAGTAAATAAAGGAGTTGTTATCCATAAATTGTGTCTACTTCATCATATGTAAACCTGTTCATAAGCAAACACAAATGCATTAAGGTAGCCCTGTTCTTGCCTAAAATATTGCCTACAATTTCCAAATGGTGAAAACAAAATCCAATACAATGTACCTCATCTTCGTCTTTCAGCAACGTTCTAATCAGATGATAATGATTATAATGATGCTAAAGATTAAATGTCACCTCCTGATGGTAAATTCCAAGTCCACAAGGAAGAACCACTTGTGAATTACAAATCTTACAAGTCTTGAACTTTGGACTAAAAGTGTTCATTTTGTACTCTGTATACGGACTAGTAGCTCAACCTAACTATTTACCAGCCAAACAAAAAGTTGACAGGACTTACTGGACCAGATGCGTTATCCCACACACCCTGACCTAACATGCCACCATACCTGTCAACTGTCCAGCAACCACCGCAATGCTTTCCCCTAGAACCTATTCCTCTGTTTATGTGAAAAATGTATCAAGGATTACGTAATACCCTGACATGGAATACACCCTACCTGCACTACTGACCTTATACAGTGAACCAGTGTTATCAATGGCTAGCTGTATACAACAATCAAGGCCATCCAAACAAGACAAGACAGTGATATCTGTAGTTATGACAACACTCTCACAGCTAGACAAGGATTAACTGATTGGCCATTAAATGCCCTCTTTGATGGCACGGACCACAAGCATAATAACAATTCATGTCTTCGGGATTAATGGGTGTGGATCTAGATACTGATATACAGTTAAGTAGCAGAGTATTATTATTGTGATTATGTTTGTATTGGGCCTTAATAATCACTTGTTTTCCTTATAAACCATAACAGTGATTAAGCCATCTTGATTACAATTGGACAAAACAGCTGGTGATAAACACCTAGAAACATGATAAACACACACAGTCTGAATCTAGGGACAAATACTAAATGAAAAAATAAAAAAAGGAAAGAAGAATGATTTGGTCTTTCTCAAAGTCACTGTCAGTAGAAATCTTTCTTGGAAACAAAATGGTCTAAAGCACAACTAAACAGTGAGTGGGTGAGTATGGTTTTACAATGCCGCTAAAAATATTCCACCACTATCATTGCAGGGGTCACCAGAAATGGGCTTCTGTACCACCTTGTACCCTTATGGGAAATTGAACCCGAGCGAGTGGACGCTTTAACCACTAGGCTACCCCACCGCCCCTCAACCCAAGAAGCAGCATCGTTGTTATTTAATGTTCCACTTAGCATGCTTTTTTCGATTATCACAAACACCATTAAAAAATCGATAACAAGGCTTCTGATCAGTTTATATTTTTTGTCCAAGATAGTCTAAAATGTACAAATGATTGTTTATGCTAATGAAGAATGTCCCATCAAAAGTTGATAAAATCATGCAATATTCTAAATACTAACTGCCTCTCACAAAGTAACTGTTTAATAATATATATTCCTTGAAAACATGGTTATCGTAAGAGGCGACTAACGCCGACTATGCTTGTTGTAAGATGCAACTAACAGGATCGGGTGGTCAGGCAAGCTGACTTGGTTGATGCCTGCCATCGTATCCGAATTGTGTTGATCGATGCCCATGACATCAGTCACTGGATTGTCTAGTCCAGACTCAATTATTTACAGACCTCCGTCATATAGTTGATATATTGCTGAGAGCAAACAAAACAAACAAACCACACAAAATATATATGCATTTCTCTGAGTCTTCTGTACGGTCCGTCGATCACAATAAAACAAGGTACGATTACAGGTCAACACTGCAATAGGGATGGTCCGGTAACACTACAAAAACAGCAGACACATCTTACTCAATCTGTATTACAAATGCTGGTCTATCCCTGTAATCACACACTTAGCATGCTTAGTAGGTCAACTGTTGTATACAGGCCACACATGACTACTATCGACCAGCTGGGTCTCAAGGGTTGGTTATGACTCACAGGATTACACCGCCTGGCTTACCCTGACTTACACCAACACAGATAATTAGCTCGGCTCTCCTTCTCTGAACACCCACTGATTTGTAATCCCACTCTTGTCGTAAACACCATGTAATGCCCTTCTGGATTCAATTGCCACTACGTTTTACTGCTAAGACACAAGATCAGTAATGCTGACATCAACTAAACTACACTGAACTATGGCCGACAGGTTCTTCAAGCACACAGATCCATATCTGCTTACTGACAGGGCTTAAGTTTATTCACTGTAAACCCAAATATTATGACCCTTATGGGGCTGGGTGTACAATATCAGCTTTAGAAATTGGCACTAGTCCTGTAGTCCTTGCCAAACTGCCCAATAGTTAAGGTATTATAAGGAGTAGAAGAAATTTGCCATTTTAAGGGGTTTTGCTATATATGAGAGAGAGAGAGAGAGAGAGAGAGAGAGAAAGAGAGAGAGAAAGAGAGAGAGAAAGAGAGAGAGAGAAAGAGAGATAGAAAGAGAGAGAGAGAGAGAGAGAGAGACTTGAACCCCAGTGATGTTTGTTTATTTGTTGTTTAACGCCACACTCACAAATATTCAAGCTATAAGACCACGGTCTGTAAGTAATTGTGACTTGACCAGACAATCCAGTGATTGGCATCATGAGCATCAATCCACGCAATTGGGATGTGACGACATGGATCAACCAAGTCAGTGAGCCTGACCACCCGATCCCGGTAGTCGCCTCTTACGACAAGTACGGCAAGCATGGGTTGCTGAAGACCTATTCTACCCTGGATCTTCACGGGTCTAACCCCAGTGAAATTGAGTTGTTCCAGTGAAATTGAGTTGTTCAAATCATGAACTGTTAATGAACATCATGAACTGTTCATTAGAAGTTCATATCGTTCATATAGCAAGTTCATGAACCTGGTCAAGAACACTGGAACATCAGTCTATCTTACATATTTGTTATCTTGCATGCCTCCATGATGAGCTTGTCACACTCAAAACAAAGCAGGTTGCCCAAAATTGATTTCATGCATCTAACTTTCATATTCAGTCAGTTAAAAAGTACATCACGCGTCAGCTGAGTGCTGCCATTCAAACATGTGGTGTGCTTGCCGACCTTAGATAATTGATTTCCAAATTAATTTCCATTTTCACCGATCAAATCCATGAAATAAAAATACCCCACATGAGCATGATGACAGTGTTATGTTTTATGATAAATTACTCTATGCTGGTTGCCATGGTTACATATGATTGATGATTGACAGGAATGATAAACCATGCGCATGCAATCTCAACTATCTACTGGGTCAATGTAATCGTAGCAGACAGTCGGAATCAATCCTGGTCTGGCTATTCACTGTTGGGCAGTCCCAGCGGTCACATATTTATCTCAGAAACCCCAGTCGTAGTGAATCAGCATACCATGTATAACAGCACCCATACTCTCAATGACCATTGAGATCAAGTCGTATGAACTGTAGGATGGTCTTCAATTTCCTCGGATGCACAAAAGCCCATAAAGGTCAAGGTCATGTTCCACAAAGCTATTCCCGGTTCAGGGGTCAAGTGAAGTCTCACGTGAACATGTAAGAAATATGATGTTCATGTTGCAAAGACTGCTTGTCGCAGCTGGGTCAAAGATCAGTCTTGAATGGTCATGTCAATCATGTGGGATGCTCGGGGAATGTAAGTAAAAATTGGACAAAATCGTGATATTGTTCAAAAATTTATTATTTTAATGTCCACATTTTCGTAAAATCTGAGGAATTGGCAAAATTTTAATTCAAATTGAAACTTTTTACAATCACTTGCTGCAGACTTGTGGCTGAATATCAGCCTCTGAGCAGGTCAACATAAATCCCTGAAGATAATCAATGTTTGAAGTTTAGTGGGGTTCTGGGGTCCTTGAGAATTGCGACCAGTGTTCAAAGATCCAGGGTAGAATAGGTCTTCAGCAACCCATGCTTGTCGTAAAAGGTGGCTATGCTTGTTGTAAGAGGCGACTAATGGGATCGGGTGGTCAGGCTCGCTGACTTGGTTGAAGCATGGCATTAATCCCAATTGCGTGGATCAATGCTCAAGATATCAATCACTGTATTGTCTGGTCCAGACTCGATTATTTACAGACCGCCGCCATATAGCTGGAATATTGCTGAGTGCGGGGTAAAATAACAAACCAAAACAACCAAACCTTCAGAATTGCTGCATATATATGTAGGATCCCCCTAAATCCTAATTATTTAAACATTAGGCCAACAGGGTTATCACATTGAGCATGTTGAGGGCCCCTTGATTTTTATGATTAATTGCAAACACTGTTAGTATGTTGAATGTTGGTCATCTACAACATTTATGATCTATTAGTCTACAGTTCCATCAATGTTTCAACCAATCAATTACCTGCTATTTTCAGTTACTAACATTTGGTCTGTTTTCAAAAATATTCTCATGCTACATTTCAACAGGTCAACCTATTTCAAATCATGTTATTCATGTTAATCGCAATTTGCAATCTTAAAAATAGCATGTCTCATTAAAATGTCTAACCATGCTAACATGATCAAGATATCAATAATAATTTCCCCTTCAATGATCATGATGATAAAATAAGCATGCCGAATATTCACCTTTTTACAGCTGTACAAAGTAAAAAAAAGTTTTGCACTGCATCCAAGTTATTTAACCACAGAAAATGATGACACACTTGGATTAACCAATTTCCAAGAATACGAGCATAATGGGGAGCGTCATTTAAGTTTAAAATATCCCTTACCAGCAACTTTTATAGGATTTCCCAAATAAGTGGCAGGATGTCATTATCACAATGATAAAACTTGAAATTCATTCTGTACCTGCTCCAGTGAACAAATCTTGTATTGTATGACACAGCAGATTAAATCATTTTGTTTGATAAAACCTGTTAACAATCCTGAGCCGGTAATATTCCTCCTACTTCCTCGCCCTGGCCAGACGCTGTTATTCTACAGACAGTATAATGATGGAGTCGACATTTCAGCAGCCGAATCCTGAGCTGATCAGTCGGCTTCAACTCGTCAAGTGGGGACAGACAAGAACGCCAACTAAACATAGGAACACCACTTCCTTCCTTGTGCACTCCATCGTGGCACAGATAACATTGTTTCTACTGACCACAGTAGATCTTGTCATACAACCCAACACATTTCAATCATTCAATCATTACATATTCTATGATAAGTAACATTATTCTCATTGATTCTAATAACTACATTTTTTAAAACTTTTTCTGTGCATGATTCAGCATGTTTAGGCCCAACCAGTTATACTACTCAACATTTGATAGGAATAATCAGGTATACTCTTCTATTCAATAATTATATACACTCGACATATTATGAGAATCAGTTTTGTGTACTATTGTCAGATAAGGTGAGGTGAAATTCGGTTTAATGTCGCATCCAAGATTATTGCACTTATATAGTGACATGCATGCACATGTGTGTGTGTGTGGCTGGCACTGGCTGCCGATTATTCAGTGCTAACCCACTGATATACTATGCTGCAGTTGAACTCATTATGCATACCCCACTCAGACACAGTAAACTGGCTCTTTGATGTCGCCCGCCAGGGAGGGTAACAACAAGTAAAATCTATGTGTGTCGCGGCAGGGGATCGAACCCCCAACATTGATTCCGCTCTTCACGAGGACACTCTACCACTATACCATGGAGGCAGTCCAGTATGGAGAGATAAAAAAATATTCCTATCTTAATTGGAGTAGTAGATAATTCTTGTTTTCCATTCCAGAGATAAGGCATAAGGCCAAAAATCCCATTGCAATAGCTCTTGAAATTATATCTAAACACCAGACTTCATATTTCATTATCATGATTATTACTTCTTCTTAAATGTTAAATACTTGATCAAACATTTAGAAAAGTTCATCTTTAAACATAGTAGAAATATGAGAAACATGGTCTGGTCTATTACATGTTACTGAATGTTCACAAGATATTGCCTACTGGATTAAGTTTGAAAGCCACTCAACTATGAAGCTCAAATTGAACTTTCAATGATAATCATTTAATACTGATAATCAGGGTTAGAAACTAACAGCTTTTGTCCACTAGTCCTTATAATGATAACATATAGCAAAACCCTTAATATGGGCCAATTTCTACTAGTCCTTAGGATACCTTTACTATTGGGCAGTTTGGTAAGGACTACAGGACTAGTGCCAGTTTCTAACGCTGGATAATCATAATACTTAAATAGATCTGACAGGTTATTTTGAGATTTCACTGATACCTTGAATTCCACAACTACATCAAATGTCAGCCCTTCTCTTAGCATGCTTAGTGCATGTTGATATTAACATACATAACAAATGATGAAAAATGGTATGCTCTATTAGAGACAAATAACAAATAATTGACAACAGTCTGCTCTAGATTTGAGCTGTAACAATTCAGGGGCAGCAAATATGATCGGTATAGCAACAATATTCTTCAGATGCTGATGTGTAATCATGGCAATGTCTAAAATATACTTTCTTCTTTCTGTCAGCCATTTCTACATGAGTATGACTCGCAACAATATAATTGTCCTGGGGTCTTCGAGGTTTGCCCCTATCATGCGTCCCTGTGATATCGGTTTTCGGACACTTAAGAAACATTTGTCTGAAAACCTACGACGTCCAAAAACCTATGATGTGACGATACTTGAATCTAGCGACCCCTCTATCATGCTACATTTAAATAGGTTTATGACAAGGACCAGAGTTGACACTAGTCATATAGTCCCTGCCAGTGTCCGTAATAACTGCCTGCCCGCCTTTTCTGTTGGGCTGATTGAAATTTGCACTGCAAGGGCCTGTTGTTTGTGTGTTTGTTTATTTGTTTGTTTTTAACGCCATTCACAATATTCCAGCTATACGACGGGAGTCTGCAAATATAAGCGAGTCTCGGCCATGCCGCCAGGGTATGAGGACACGCTATCAAACAACTCCTGAAACCACCAGATTGACTGTCTCTTTTACAACCAGCATAGTTTGGGGACAAATTCTAACCCGGAATCCCCACGGAAGACAAGGATCCGTTGATTTTCAAGCTTAATTATGAAAACTGTACAGTGATAGCTAATCATGTGAATGAACCAACATGTTTAACTGTGCTGCCAATGTCATATTCATGATATTCATGATATGAATGACATCATGTGATATGGGAAAAACTACTTTAAATATAACATGAACTGTTAACATGTTAAGGTGATGAATAATGTTTCAATGCTTAGGTGAACTTGGGTCATGTCATATGTATTGTGGAGGATAAGAGACTTGGTGAAAAGCACCTGACAATATCCAGGTCATAGCTTGCAAGGTCTAAAGCACGTACAAGTCAGTTATTCATTCTGTGAAAATGTTCCTGATAAGAATGCAGTGAAAAGGGTCCTTGGGTCTTTAAGAAGTATGATATTTATTAATCTAGCACACAAACATCAGCCCCACCCCCTAGACCATTTTAACATTAGACCATCTTTTTTATTAATTTTAACTGTCTCTGCATCAATTACTTCTTAAGCATCAATCATGATGAACTGAAAGATTGTGAGTCTATCAATATTTGCAAGCACACTGACAAGTATGCACAATAACCTGAAAGAATTGCTATTCCTTTCCACATGTTCCATGGTCGATTGATTGTTAATCAATCAGTTGCTCATTCAAACAAATCAACCTTGAAATACTACCAATATCAAACACTACTGAATACACCAGCCTGCTCTCAGAACTACATGCACTTTCCCACAGCCCTATATCATGAGTACTGCAACATTACCTTTAGGCTAGCAAAATCAGTCATGAATAGTTCACTGATTAACATTAAAATATATTTCAAAATAGAGTCAAAATACTCCTGCAAAGTCAAGAAGCAATCATGATGATGATCATGGACTAAGAATAAAATCAAATTGAAAAATAACAGCACAGATTGAAATATGAAAAGCTTCTCGAAACACTGTGTGACTAGATTCAAATTCCTATCTTTCAGTGTTACAGCAAATTCTTGGAGAAGAGTGGGTTTTCTCCCAATTCAAGGTTCCTATCATAAAGAATCTGGTTTACTGTTGGTTGAAAATATAATCAAATGGTGGACTCGCTGCTAGTTGACTACTAATTTCAAACACTTGTTCATAACCCAAGTATCCCTGCTACAGGACTTAGAACATGCAGAAATATTATTCAGTCTGACATGGGAATACTCTCCCATTCCAGAATCATTATACATGTACTTGTCAGTGAAGGTAATGACTTTGTAGGTATAGTTCCAAGGAAATTGTAGAGCATGTTTACATAGTCAAGACATGTAATATGACATGGTGATCACCATGACGACATGTGTTGAGATGCTGGCCGGTACTGGCATCAGTGATGGGGATGTTGCATTCCTTGACTGCCCCTCCTGTATCCTGGGCACAAGGCGTGTCCAGTCTCTCAAACATGTATATCCGTGTCACTGCTGATTAGATAGCCCAACCATGTAAAGGAAAATTGTGATAGAACACAGGCACTTGCTCCTTACAACATTTACAGCTAAATGAGCCATAGTTGTTTATCGGGTTTGGAGTTAGTTCTTAAATATTTTAGCATTTCTTAAGCATTGTCTATCAGTTGATGACCTCCTGTCTCTGAGACTTTTCAATGGTCAATTCCCACAGCAAAGTGTAGGAATTCAATCACTAATGTTTCAGATCTAGGACCAGAAACCGAGGGAGAGGGAGCGATTTACTATAATGGTGTATGAGCATGATCAGAAATAGAGCGCTCAACAAAATGCTTAAAGCATCAAAAAAGTATTAATAATTAGGGGGTCTGACTGAAAAGTTTAGCATCAATATATTGACTCAGAAGTATCACAATACATGTACATGCTTTTACTTTGTACTTTTCTTGATCAAAAACACCACATATGCAGCGGTAGAAACTATGATTTTTAGTTCAATAGTCCCTATAATTATAACAAATAGCAAAACCCTTAAAAAAGGCAAATTTCTACTAGTCCTTATGATACCTAACTATTGGGCAGTTTGGTAAGGACTACAGGATTAGTGCCAATTTCTAATGCTGAAGTGTAGTCCTACGAAACACTCACACTTCTTCATGTTCATGTGATTCACATTGATAGTTAATGTACACATAATGGCACATAATGGTTAATGGTACATAAATGAAGAGTTTGTTTGAAAAATAAATAAAAAGGCTCCCACCTTACATTTTTGTAAAAATTAAGATGAATTAATTAAATAGTGGCCTATAAAAATTAGATATTTTCAATTATTAAATCAAAATTTTCACTACAACAATCATAATTACCATGATTACAGGCCTCAAAGTTGCGACTAAAACGGTAGCAAATGCGACCTAAATTTAAGTTTGTCTACTGTCAAAAATTCAGAGGTAGCCAAATGACTACCTAGAATAATATCTTGTGATGTCTAGATTCTATTGCTTCACATCTGTAAACACAAAAATAATAACAGCTGATATTGTAAAACATGTCTGCTAATAATTGTACTCGCAAATAATTCCTTCTGAAGTCAACAATGAACCAAAATACAGAAAAATTAATGTAATTGGTACTTTATTTTAGTTGACAATGCTCATTGGATAAGAGAGAATATACCTATATAATCTAGTAACATAAATTGCATCATTGTTCAAGTCGCAAGTAGCAAAATTCAAGTATAGTGCTGTAACTTGTACATATGATGATAGTTATTTGATAAAGATAATTTCAAATGCTTTTGGCTACCTACAATATTGGCTTGACTTCTTGATTTTACATGGCTACCTGGAAAAAAATACTTGTAGCCATATGGCTACTTTGAGGCCTGTATTATGATCATGATTAACAAAACCTGTATTATGATTATGATTAACAAAACCTGAATTGTCTAAATAGTAAATACTCAAACATGTTAAACCATGTCAAGAGAATTAATAGACGCTCTAAAACTGTTATGAAATA